TACTTTTTGAATTCCCCAGAAAAAAAATGAAAAAGAAAACAAATTATTGGAAAGAGCTTATCAACTATAGTGAATGGGTTCATAACAAATAAACCAAAACCAAATGAATCACATTATAATATAGCATGTTGTGTAAGTCTAGTCTAAAAATGAATTTTCTTCTTTTTAAAGGTGTTAAGCTTCACAGTCTCCAGTCTGTAGGCAAGTGTTTATACTCTTTAGTATTTTTGAGCAGTTCTACAAAGGAGGGTATGCTAAACATCTTACTCAGCAACTTTTTTTGGTTAAATTGTCATGATGTCCTATGCTGTGGTTTAGTAGAGGAGGCATAACTTAACCTTGTTGAATTTGCTTTGGTTTTCAAAAAATTTAAGCGCTATCTCAGAGGCAGAAGCAAAAGTACAAAGAACAGGGACATGTTCTGAGCAGTTGATCTTGTTTCCAGTTATAGAACAGTGTTGAGTTCATCTTTATAAATATTTATTTCTAGGATACTTCTAGGTTCTTGATTTCAGCAACCTAATTAAATGGATAGTTATTTTCTTGTTGCTGTTACAAAAAACTGGAAGCCAAAGTCCTCTGCCAGTCTTTTGCAAATGGCACCAGAATTTACTAATAGAACTGGTTTAGAAAACTGAGCAATTGTTTGTACTGCATGTTTTTTCCCCACTCTCATTGTGCACCAGTTTAGAGTTACAGTCTCTTTCAGTGATAGTTCCTTGTTGTGTTTGAGATACGTAACTAAGAATTTAATGTATTTCTATTCTTAATCATAAGTTCTTAGTGGACAGAGAACGACTTGGGTTATACACCTTAATACTGTAAGTCATAAGCTATACAGTATTGTAATTTGTTGTAGCATGTGGTCCAAAAAGGGATCATGGCTGAAATTATACATAGCCTTCTTAGTTTTAATTTCAGTCTATTGCCATAGTTATAACCAAATGACTTGGTCCAAATATGACATTCAATTGACTTACGGCTAAGCAGATGCTATATTTTTTGAGAAACGACCCTGGGTACAGGAGAGGTGCAAATCAAAGTAGCTTCTCCAGCACTGGAGACATAGAATCCACCAATGGGTTAACTCTGCCTTCCTGCCCAATAGACCAGGTCAGCTAATTTGTCAGGCCAGTCCAGGGGTAGCCACTCCCCCATTCTTGACTTGGTCTCAGCCCAGACGGACTTGTTGAAAGTTTTATGAGTCCTGCAAGATTCAAACAGCTGTAACAGATCTGTTAGCGCAAGTGAGCTATGTGGCTTTTTGTTTTAAATAATTGAATTATTACTGTTGTTATTGTTATTACTGTTAATTGCATTTCACTTTTCTTTTAGGAGCTTTTGGGATATACATATGATTCCCCCCCCCCCCCGGTCTGACAACTGTATTATGTAAATTAGGCAGGAAATGACACAAAGTTATTCAATGAGTTTTGATGTCCAAAGGTGGACTTAAATGTTTGTTAGCTATTATATCATATTGGTTGTCCTCAATAATATCTCATTTCTGTAATGATGGAGCATATCTTGTGCCTTTCTCAAGCTGAATGGAGCCTTTGAAGTTCAAGCTATCTTTCTCAAAAAAGAGTCATAGTCATGTTTGCCATATTTTTTGTACATAATGGCAACCACAAAATGCTTTGGCAAATAAAACTGTTTGAACCTTAGAGTTAGCAGAATTAGGCTCTTGTTATACATTCTTCTTTGAAATGCTTTCCAAGACTTATTTTTATTCAGATATCACTGCAAATTTATAACATTTGGATTTATTTACAATACTACTTGAGCATTCCCTGTTCAGTTTACTTTTGTATGTTTCTCAGTTTCTTCCAGAGTAATTAAAAAGTAAACCTATAACGTTTTAATCAGTTAGAAATGTTATAGCAATATAATCTTGTAGCAGTTTATTTATTTGGAAGTATTGTGCAAACCTTTTTTTATTAAAACCCATGTACTGTATCGTATCAGTGATTAAAACCAATGGTTATGTTATAACAATGGATTTTAATATAGAAGTCCTCAAACTCATAATCCAGTGGTGGCGAACCTATGGCACGGGTGCCAGAAGCAGCACTCAGAGCCCTCTCTGTGGGCATGCGCGCCGTCACCCCAGTCCTAGGCCTTCAGCTGGGTTTTATAAAACCTTTTCACTTTAGTCCTCCGCCGCAGTGTGCAAAAAAAAAGGTTCAATCAGTCAATTTCAACTTCTCGCGGGGAAAAAATATCTTGCAAAGTTGGGATTGATTGAATTTTTTAGTCCCACCCAGTCTGCCATTACCACCGCAGCCACGCTTACCCAATGGGCCACGCACACCCAATTGGCCACGCCCACCTGGCACTCGATGATGCATAAGTGGGTTTTGGGTTGCAGTTTGGGCACTCAGTCTCTAAAAGGTTCGCCATCACTGTCATAATCTCTCAGTCTGAAATCCAGGAATCCCTTGAATATAGTGAATAGAGATGTGCTATATTTTACATCTGAGGTTGAAAGGGTGCTTGGAGAATGGGCAAGCTCCATCTTCAATGCCCCCTTAAGAAGGCTGCATCTTTTCAACAGTATTCTTATAGCCCAGTTAGTGACAATGTCAGGAAAAGCTGGAATATATCCCTGCTAGTTTCTGAATGTTGAAATTCTAACCTCATATTTATATCTATTTAGTTCATGTAGAATTTAAAATGTTTATCCGATGCATAATACGTGACACTGAAGAGAGATGATAGTATATAAGACTTCAGTGAATGAATTAGAGATAGTCCTTGTCATTCAACCACAGTTGGGACCAGATTGGCGGTCATACATCATTATGGCTTGTAAATTGAGATAATCACATGACCGGTCCCAATTTTACAGCATTTTTTTTGTGGATGGTTGTTAAGCAAATCGTGGTGGTTAAGTGAATCATAAGTTGAGGACCACCTGTATTGTGATTTGTAATAGTGTTGCTAGAGTAGTCAAGGATAGAAATTGCATCTGAACCTATTAAGGGTTTGCTCTTTGTATCTATGATCTATTCTGAAATGTTTACTAATTTTAAATCATACTGAAGCCTACTTCTGAAAGGCAAGAGTTTATTATCTGCAATGAAGTTTTTTTAAACTTGAACTTTACAAACATGTATTGCATTACATATACTAACAACGCTAACAAAATAAAGAAAAATCCGTAAATTACCATTTATCTATTTCTTTAAAAAAAACCCTACCATTTTACATTTTCTTCCTTAAAAACACCCACAACCTTTTTGATGTTTATTATTATATTAGGTCATAAAGGAATCACTGTTTTTCATGCCAAACTCATTACAACATTTCTGTTATTGCTCTGTACATGCTCTATATTTGAAAAATGATGAGAATATAAGAAAGCCTTTGGATGAAACTCAGAGCCTATTTAAATCATTATTCTGTTCTCATTGTGTCTAAGAAGATGTTTAAGAAAGCCACAAGTAAATCACAAGTGCAATAGTAATCATATAGCCTTCAGTAAGGACTGCAATACGAAGCTGCTGTAGCTACTAGCCATCGGTTATTTTGATTTTCATCAACTTATCAAATCCACTTACCAAATTGCTCTCCTTTAGTGGCAAGCTCTCTTAATAATTTTCATTTTTTATAAAATGCACTGTGTGAAAAAGGGTTATTTATGTCATGAATCTGTCCCAATTCAGTTTCACTGATCTTAGATTTTAATATTATGAACACAGATTTTTTCCCCCTTCACTTCAGAATATTTTTATCACATCCTACTATTTTTTCTACTAAAAAAGGTCAAAATATTCTACTATTCATGAATGAGAGCTGCTTCACCCCTTAATAATTTGGATTTGGTAATCTATAAATTGATTAAAGTGATAGTTTGATTACATGCCATCAAGTGGTTGTGAACTCTTAACAACCACATAGATAAATTTTCTGTCCATAACCTGGTCCTTTAGTTACTCCAATGATAGCTAGTGACTACTTTAATGGAACCTGTTCATCTTGCTCCTGGTCATCCTCTTTTTCTTTTTCCTTCTACCTTTTCCAGCATTGGAGCCTTTTCCAGAGAGCTAGGTGTTCACATAACATATCCAAAATGGGATAACTAGCAGTTTAAGCCTCAAGTGAGATGTTGTTTTGCTCAGTGATCCATTTGTTTTCTTGGCTATCCACAATATTCTCAGAATTTCTTTCCAACACAAAGTTCAAAAGCTTCAATACTCTTTCTACCTTCTTATTTCTTCAGAGTCCAACTTTCACTTCTGTAGAATGTCGCAGGCTTGCACAATTCTGATCTTTGAACTCATTTCCAACCTGGAGCTAGTCTGTTTCACCATATTCTGCCTGTACTGTGGGGTTCGTGATCTGTGTATAAGTTTCTTATGAGGACAATGATATATTCTGGGATTCCCATTTTTCTGAGCACTTTTCACAGCTTGATATGTGACATAATTGAAAAATATCAAAAAAGTCTTTCTGTCCTTCATTGATTATACAAAGGCCGTTGAAGGCTTTATATAATCAATGAAGTACAGTAATTTCTTTTTAATATTCTTGGTTTTCTCAGTTATCTAGGGTGCATCAGCAATAATGTCTCGTGTTCCTCGACCTTTTCTAAAGCCTACTTGAACATCTAGCATCCTCCCGCCCTTCAATTGGTATTTTCAAATTTCATGGGGAAAAGCACATGTAAAAAGAAAAAAACAACAGATTGCTATATATTTTCATAAAACATTGTACATAGATATGAGTTAGCCTAATTGTTATCTCCTATGCAGCCATTGATGCTCTATATATTTATCTTTTTAGGTCTGTTTCTAATTGAATTGGCTAATTAAATTGTATATTGATGTAATTAAATTGTTTTGTTTTTGTTTGTTTTTGTAGGAAGAAACCTGCTGCATCTTAACCTAATTCAGTCTCTAATCTGCTAATACCGTAGACTGAAAGATTTTGCTGTTGCCAGGATACCTTGTAATGGGCAAGGAGCCAAGAAGACTAGATTTTTTTTTCCTTTATAAACTTTTCTTTTAACAGGTAAGAAATCCTGCATATTTTTGCCTCTGGAGGGGTATGTTAAAATATGTATGTCTGATTTTCATAGTATTGGCTAAACCGCTTTATGTTCCAGAAATTTGATTGACTTAATTGTTCTTTTTCTTTCAGTATTTTTTCTCATTAAATTATAAGGTGGTTTTCAAAAACAAAGTTTTTAGTTACATACACAAATCTGCTAATGATTTAAATTCACATAAGGATTAACTTTACATTGATGTAAGAAGCTGGGTTTAAGTTGCAGTGTTACTAATTTGGTTTGGTCCTGAAACATGTGTTATCTGATATGGCCCTTATGGTTAAAGAATATTCATGGAATAGAAAAAAGTTTTCTCAAAACAAAACCAACTTATGCAGAGTATTCCATTTGAATGTTTTGAATGGGTTAGGTCCTCACAAAACATTTTGAATGGTCTTTCATAATACTGGAACATGAAGTGGGATTTTGCTCTGTCTTTTTTTCTCCTGTGGTCACAAAAATAGTGGGTAGTAAATATCCTGAATGCTTATTAGCATCTAGGCTATAGCCCAAAAGCCCTAAAATCTTTTTGAAGAGTATTTCTTGAACTGCCCAAGAAAGAAGGAAAGTAACTGATTAGATACACTTTTTTCCCCAGCCTGCCTTCCCATTATGCAAATTGTGTAGTGTACAAATTCTCTTTAAATCTGGCCATAGGTAGACAGGGTAGTTTCTGATGTAGCCATGTGACCTCGGAGTCGATGATTTCTACTAAATTTAGGCAATTTAGTAATTAGCTTGCAGTAGCACTGGTAGTTGCTGCTGTTCTGAGTGAAGATTGGGAAGGCCTCATCCTCCAGTCACAGATGAGGCGGTCTGAGGGAGGATAAGTTGTGAGGAAGGTCAGCTAGATCACTAAGTCACAATTCAAGTGTGAATGATGGCCATCACCTGCCATGGAGAACACCATTTTGCTCAGGACACTGGTTGGCAAGAACAGAGTATACCACTGCCCAGACTTTGTCAGGTTAAGCTAGATCTGTGCATTGACAATTCAAAATGAGACTATCTTGCCCCTCTTTTGCTTGTCAAAAACTCGAGATATTTTCCCTACTAGAATGCAAGTAAACTATGCAGTCTCCTTAATGGTATATCATTACTAAAAACATTTCTCTTAAAAGTTGACTCAAGACTAATAAAACTTATGCTGTGCTCCTACCCAGTTGTATATGCTTGGCAGCACATAGTGTCTTTAATAGCCAAAGAGATCCAGCAGGCAATGTATGTTCCAGTTCTCAGCTGGTCTGTCAAAGCTGTGTCTTTCTAGGATCTTATTTGCTCTATATGATAACCACGGCTTTTCCCAAAGTCATGGTTTTGGGAAGAACTTGGCTTAGCGTGTCTTCTCAACATTCAAACACTGAAGGCCTTGGAGATAAGTTTCTATTTCTTCTGCCCAAAGGAACCAAACTGTGTCTCCTTTTTCTAAACTGGTTGCACAAGAGGCAGTATATGATGCTGTACCAAATTGTATCATATATCAGGGTAGTGTGCAGTATTTCTTGTTGAATACCTTCACCCTGTCACATTTTTGTAGAAATATCCTGCAGTCATACATCATGTGTTTCAACTGTCAGGGTACCCGCACAAGGGGATTCTGTAATGGGGGACAATTAGTTGAAGAGATGCTGAAAATTCTCCTTATTGGATATAGTGAGTGGTTGTTGAAGCCATTATTTGGGCGAAAGCACATGTAACATTCGATAATATTGAGTCACTTGCTATTTGCTTATGGATTACTGCTACAATTGCTATGGCAGTTTCCTCTTCTTCAGAAAGGATGCCTTTATCTTTTTGATAGTTAGAAACACAGTTTGCCAGCATTTTCGGAGACGTTTTGGTAAAGCCCAGGAGCCAATACCACAAGTGTTTTTTGTCCGTGCCTCTGTTGATCGTTTTGGGTCTGTTGATCGTTTTGGGACCTTGCTTTAGGCAATGTAACATAAATCCTTCCTCAAAGGGTTAAGGTTACAATACTAGTAGGCACTCTTTAATCTAGTATCTGTTGTTTGTATGTGGGTCACTATCACCATTGATCTTGGGTTGAATTTCAGTCCCTGGGTCAATAAGACAAAACTGAACATTGCCACCTCCTATGCAAATGGAAAATAGCCGGGCCTAATACTGGTGATTTTTTTATATAGTGGCAGTTGGTATCACAGCTGCTGCAACAGTAGCAAAACAACCATGTCAAACTTAAGTCTCTTGCTTGTATATCTTTTTTAATAGATCTTTGTCTCTCTGCCCCATCTCCCTCTTCATGATTATATTGATGGTTTTTTGTTTTGTTTTGGGTTTAGTGAGGAAATAGTATGGTTAGGGAACCTTTAAAGATGTTGGGAAAACTATGAAAGAAAAAAAATGTGGGGCATCCAAATACTTGAAACAATGTAAAGCATGCCTCCTTTCTTTTGAGTTTAGAAAAAATTCAGAAACACTCAAAAAGATTTTTCCACACCCAAAAAAGAAAAAAAAAACATTTGGGGCTGGAACCCTTTGCATGTTCTTGTTAGCTAAGTTTTGGGTTGGAAGCTGAAGCATTGGATTATTGGGAAATAATTCAAGATTAAATAATGTGCCTCTGCACTATGCTAAATCTTATTAAATATAATTACCTTGGTTTAATTCCTTTCTTCAAAAATGTGCTTTAATTGAAACCTGCCTGGTGACAAACTATAAAGATAAAGAATAAGGAAACAAAAGACTACTTTATTACATACTTTCTATGGAAATTGCATAAATCAAGTATATCAGGTTCTCATCCACCCAAATTGGATGACTTATGTTAAAGTGGTGAAATGAGAATATTCATACTGCTTTTACTTAAACTATTTGAACTGTTTTGTGAAACCTGGATATATATTTTATCAGTTCACTTATCAGTGCTTGTGTCTAGGTAATGGAAGTGTGCTTATAGGGTAGTTTAAATCCTGTTCTATGTTGATATGGATGCTGCTTATTGTTGAGGTGACATGGTACTTGCATAAAGTCTGTAATGTTCATTCAGTATTTTAAAAAATGCTGAATGCACATAAGAGTTTCTGCATAAGTTGAGAAATGTCACTCTAAATGAGAATATTGTTGCGTTATATTTAGATTTTTTTTTGGTAAGGAAAGCAAGAACCACTTTACAGGAAAATATGATCTTTTGATAGTGTTGTCTCTGGTCACTCAGGATTCTTGATTTAATATATGTATTCTAAATAAATCCTGGAAATTGAAAGTGACTTCAATTCTGGTATAATAGTTTTAAGTACATATAGATCTCACTGTATATATATATATATATATGATTTAAATAAATGTTAAATATATTCACTGATAATGCCCCTTTCAGGGCTACTGCAATGCACTTTGTGTCAGGGCACTTTCCAGAAACAGTTTCTCACATTCTGAAAGTGAGGATAAATAACCAGAATTTGGTGGAAAGTATTTTGGTTTGCAAAGAATACTTGCTTCTTCAAAGTTAGAGTGGGATTTAAAAAAAGTTTCCAGAAAAAGGTGAGCACAAGGTCAGCTATATCCCTGTCTTGAGTTTATTAGTTCAACGAACAATTTGTTGATTCTAGGCTTTCATCCAGGATACCTACTGCCTTACTTACTATAAGAAGAATGAAAAGAAAGTTGATGATATTGGCTTAATGGTGGTACTATACTTAATTGCCAGATTTCTCAGCAGTTTTATGGCAATGGGGAGTGGATGGGGGGTTTCCTTCCTTCTGCCATGCTCAAACACGTAGCCTCTTTTGATAAACACATGCACCCACACGCGTACATATTTTTTACAATTCATCAGATCCTTTGAACATAGGATTAAAAATATCTCATTTTTCTGGTGAGGAAAAGTAAAATATTTCCCATAACACCAGCAGGCAGGCTATGATCTTTCCAGCATCCTAAATAACACTACCTCAACCTAATGAGTAGCTCTCTGCTTTGGAATGAAAACACTTTAGTTTGCCTGATTCTTCCAAGGCTATCCCTATACAGGTAGTCCTCAACTTACAACTATTTGTTTAGTGACTGTTCGAAGATAAAATGACACTGGAAAAAGTGATTTATGGCTGTTAATTTCACACAACCATTGCGGTACATGATGTGGTCACCTGATCAAAATTTGGATGCTTGGCATCTGGCATGTATTTATTATAGTTGCAGTGTCCCGGGTCATGTGATCACCTTTTGCAACCTTCTGTCAAGCAAAGTCAATGGGGAAGCCAGATTCATTTAACAACCCCATTGCTAACTTAACAACTACAGTGATTCAATTAACAATTGTGGCAAAAACTTTGTAAAAAATTAGGCAAAACTCACTTAGCAACTGTCTTGCTTAGCAACAGAAATTAATTACCAGAACAGGTAAGTCCAGTATTACTTGTGCGGGCAGTATGATCAACTCTGTGTTTGGGAAAGGAGGATAAGGTTCTGTAGATCTTAGCAGTCTGTATAAAAATGATTGCCACTATAATGTGGGTATAGAAAGCAATCATTTTTGAAAAATCTTTGGATGAATGAAAGGTTGTATTAAGAGGACCTGCCCTTCCCATGGGATTACTTGATTACAACTTTTGCTTTATGAAACTCTTATCTGATCGGTCTTATTTTCTTAGTACGTGCTATTTCTGATGCCTTTTTTAAAAAGTCCACAAAGATAATATAAATCTTTTATTTGGTATGAATATTTCCAAGTGTAACTATGTTTCCTTCATACTGGCCAAGATTCTAAAGCAATCACAAACTAAGAGAAGTCAGGCTATATCAAGCAAAGAGCTTGTCACTCTGTGAAAGTAGGTTATCCCAAACAATTGATGGTACTCAAATATTTAAGTGCTTCTTTATTTTACAACATTTGAAAGAATCCTACATATGTTGCTTATGTATAAAATCAAATATATTAGCCATACATTCATCATCCATTTTTCTGGGATTGAGGTTTGGACTTAATGGGTTTCAACAGCATGAG